GTCTCACTTGCAATGTTGTGTGCAGGGAATACCATGGTACAAGCTGTACCAATAAACAGTTACCAGACTTCTTGGGGGATGACAAACCTGTTGAGATTTTCGAGGTACATGTATATATGACCCTGCAACGTCAAGCTGCAGCATTCACTGTGACATTTATTCCACTGTTAATCACGTAATAATGTTCATGGATCACACAATCATGTGACAGAATGCGCAGTGGATATGAAGTTTCAGATTTAAATTCAAATATTTGTATTTGGTGGTATTATTGAATTTCAGCAAATGAACTACAACAGAGATAACTCATCGACTTCTTGTGAAACAACTGGTTTGGGGTAAATTCTGAGAGGACCTCATATAGGTCATCCTTGTTTCCAGCAAGTATTTACAGGAATGAAAACGAAACTTGTTATAGCCTTTATTGTTATGTTAATAAGTAGATTCAGACAATAACAATCAACATTGATATCTAAACTCGCCAAAACATGTCATTAAAGAGATAAATATTGATATTTGGTGGTCATATTGGATTTATTCAAATGATTGAATATTCTACATACAACCTTGGGTCTGTTTACCCCAATGAAGAAGTTCAAATCACTCAAATATGTCATCAGAGACCAACAGTGTCTTGATATTCTATGTCTAGCCAGCAAACTCTTGGCGGCCATCTTGGAATGGAATGTTGGGCCACCAGGGGGCTCTGGTGACGGAATTTCTTATCTAAAAGTGTTAACTATACTTCAGTGAGTTAGTGTGCCAAGTTATATGCATATAAGTCCTAGCACACTGTTTTAGAGATAAACGATTCAACAGTGTAAACACACATTTAGGAAACTTGGCGTCCATCTTGAAATTGGCGTCCATCTTGATTTTTTGCAGATTTGTCAATAATCGAAAACATTCAGGAGTTGTGAATATCTTTTTAGAAACATAACATGGATATTTCGCAGAACACATGCTTTTTTCCATCAAAACATTGACCCTCATCTGACATATGCAAGATATATTGATAATTGGTGGCCATATTGGATTATGCAAATTAGACTTATTTCCCAAACAGGGATTGCTTGGGACTTTTAGTATGTTGTTTTCGGGACCTTGTAGAAATGCATTGTGGTAAAATAAATTCTGTTGCAATTTGTTCCAAGTTTAGTGAAAAAATGGCCTAGATTGCCTGGACTATAAATCATCGTTGCAACTTTAGTGTTGAATTGTCATTATAAATTAACTATTTTGGGAGAGTGGGATGAGGGACGCAGTGTCTGCTCTGGCTTAAATTTTCTTGGGGTCACCTGGACCCCTTCATCATAAAATTAGGGGTCCCAAACAAAAATGAAGGGGTCCAATTAATAGCATCATAATATAACATAAACAACAGAATACAGTGGTTGTGACATCTTTTCGCAACTGCAAAATATCAACAAACAGGCAAAGTGAGAGAAAGGTTTACATCACGGCACATCCTGCTCTCATGACCAAGAGGATTACATTAAGGGACAGACAATTTCTTAAAATGGAAATTTGATACTAATGAATATTTTAACACAAAACTATCCATGTTAATATCTAACTTTGTAAATGAAAAGGCAGTACACGGGTTATCAGCCATTGGTAAGGGGTCATCGGGGCAGACATTTGTGAATGTTTATATCTAGATCTTCCAATGATTTGAAGTTTATGGATTCAGTCAAGTTCAATGGCTGTTCTGATGCTACTGTACTGAGTAGTGAGTTCCATGTCGTAACTGTGACAATGATCAATGAGTCATAACATAATTGGGATATCAAACAGGTTTTTTTAGTAAGAGTATGTTCAGGATCCAGCATTTCCTTCATAAATCTAGTCAACAATGAACATGTTTCAGGTGCTATAAATGTTAAAACATGTCAGTTACACTAATATAACCCACAAGAGATTGAATTATAATCAGCTTGATAAGTCTGTGGTAGAATAACTAAATATTCAGAGTCCGCTAAATAAAAACAATGCTTACATTCAAGTGTTCGCATTTATTCTTTATCATATAGAGTATGGCGGTATGGATAAATCTCGAAATCCACACAAACTGTCGACTGTTTACTTATGCAAATCTAAGCACGATATCTTTCATCGCATGATCGAATACAGGACTCGTTGCGGTTTGTCATGGCTACTTGTACACATGTTAACTTTTTTATGATAGTTTCTGGGATGTTTTTGAAGTGGAATTACCCCTACTTCGATTCGAAATTGATTAGAAAAAGAACCCATTTGTTCAAACGAAGTCCCTTGATCAAACCTCAGTCGTATGTGAAATACAAAACAGGACGTGATGTAAACCATATAACCCACACAGGAACTTTGTTTACCGAACTCGGTAAGAAAATCAGCATCGATCAATCCAATGAACAACAACATTTTATAAGCGTGCCCCATTTCGATCCATTATAAATTAACTACCGCGATAACATAGCGTACCATCCTACACAGTAGCTCGATTTTGCGGGTCACTGTTACCACGTTCTGAAGTATACCCTTGATGTGCCGGGCTATTTTTAGTTTGACACAAGGTCGGGATATTTTCGACCAATCATCAAGCTAAATGAATTATGACTATATCCGACCTGCCTAATATGCGGCACCTGATTGGCTGAAGCAAAGCTACGGACCACACCGAAAATTAATACATGCAAAACCGAAAATAGATATAGGTCAAGAAACCGGTTTAGGTATTTGTCATAAACAGTGAGAGAATAATGAAACTGGTTTGGTGTAGCAAACGGAAGTGTTAATCAACATTCTTCCCTGTCTTGTTTGGCAACAAATACCTTTACGCAAAGACGTACGTCTTTGATTTACGATAACAGTGTCAATTCGATATGAAATTAATAATGCCCCAGTCACTGCGTCCACGAGACCCACACATGTTACGCATGTGCGTTCAAACTCATTTTTGTGCGTCCAAGACGCATAAACGTGCTCTTCAGCCAACACTGGGGACGAGATCTCTTCTCCTCATTAGGCGAGAAGGCGAGAAGGCGTCCTTGCGTGACACTCGCTTGTTACCCATGTGATTATCTTTAGTAGTCACAACGGACTTAATAACTTTCTTACATGAAGCAGATGAATATTTTGCTGACACTCTAGTGGCCCACAGAGATTAGACGAATTCCTTGAAAGTGTCAAAATCAGGAACAACACTTTACGCATGTGTCTGGCACAATTGCATCCAGCAAATGCAAACTATCAGATGTGTTTTGGTGTTATGTCTTACAGATATAAATGCTCTTGTTTGTCTTCAACACTTATCTTTGTTCTACTAATTGCAAATATTAATGCTACACATTGATTATTTGTGCTTGTAAATGTCACTTCTGGTTGCTCTACGACAATAAAATCCATTATGCGATGAGGATTTAATAACCTGTATCATCCACAATGATGACTTGTTCCTCCCAGAATAAACAATGATATGTAAACACATGCACCTACAAGATGGTTCTCACTAGTTGAACAACACCATACAAACATTAAAATGAACCAAAAGGACATCTAATATATATGTCAGACATGGTATTCAACAGCTTCTCAAAAGTCACCCAACAAATGAATTCTGTGAAAGCTAATCAAGATTTTAAAATGACCAAACAGTATGAACATCACTTATATTCCCGGCATTTGGTATACTGAACCAAATTTAAAACTTCACAATCCTAAAATTTTAACATTTTGACCAGTTATCATTGTGGGGCCTTGTGTATTTAAACAGTATTTTCACGTGCAACTGGTCACGTGGCCATAATACCGCACGTGTTTTCAGCCATACTTGTTAGCAGTCATAAAAAAAGAAAAACACAAGAAAACAAAAGTCTTTACGGACATTTGTAATGTGCCTTACAAATATGCAAATGTGCAACGTGAACGTGCCATCGGCATGTTGCAGACGGGAACGTCCGTAGCTGAAGTCGCAAGGACAATGGGTTGTAGTCGTCGGACTGTTTATGATTTACAGACGCGTCTACAGCAAACGGGTACCCATTTTTGATGGCTACATCAACCAGTAATGAACTGTTTAGGGGTAGACTGAGTGCGCAAACTGTTTGAAACCGTCTGAGAACTGCTCACCTTCAAGCACAACAGCCAATTCTGCGAGCTGATTCTGACTCAATTACACAGACGTCAACGTCAATTGTTGGCACAGCGACACTTATGATGGCCTCGGAGGAATTCGAAACAAGTCGTCTTCAGTGATGAATCCCGATTTAATCTTCGATTTGCTGATGGTAGGGCGAGGGTGTGGAGGTGCCGTCATGAACGTTACGCCCAGTGTTGTGTACAGGAAGTTGACAGATTTCGAGGCAGAAGTGTCATGGTGTGGGGTGCTTTCTGTAGCAATGCACGTTCCAGGCTTCTTGTCATCCGTGGCAACCTCACCGCTGCTGCTTACCGCGACCAGGTACTGGCACCAGAACTTCTGCCTTTTCATGGACTGGCCGTCAAGGTCTCCCGAACCTCAATCCCATCGAACACGTCTGGGATGCTCTTGGCAGAAGTCTGTGCACTCTCCAGAACCAACCACAGAATTTGCAAGATCTTAATTGGCACCATTTTGCAGCAACAATGGGGTCGTCTTCCCAATCATGTGTTCACAAGCATCACAAGGTCCATGCGGAGGCGTTGTGTGGCAGTTGTCACCGCACATGGTGGCCATACACGCTACTGAACTTGTGTGCCATCAGATTCTCATGCTTGGGACTTATGATTTAAACTGTTGATGTTATTACCGAATACCGTAGGTGCTTGAAACAAACTATGGTTACCACCGTTAATTAAAATCCTTCTTAGGACATTAATGATTAAAAATTACCTTCTCTACATTTGTCCGTTGTTTATCATATATGGGATTACTTTTAAAAATGTGAAGTTTTTAATTTGACTCAGTATATTTAGCATGTTATGTGAACACATGCTAGTATGTATCAGTTCGTAGACAGGACTTTCTTAATATTACTTACCCGGCAGTAACAGCTTCTGGCCACAATTAGGGATGGCTGGTCCTCGTGAGTCTGGTGCGCCTCTGTAACACTGGTAGAGACCTGCGTCTTCCCAAGTTACACTAGAGAGCGTGAATCTGAACAAACCAGTTCCTGAGGATGACACCTTTCCAATGAATCTCACTCTAGATGTCAACTTGTCACTGGCAGCTCTGATGTCATTATAGCCTGTGACATGAAGAAGGCATGTCTTTGTCTCAGTGTTACACACACTCAACTCCCTGGTCCCAGGCTCCGGGAGAGTCCAAGACAACGTGGCATAGCCGCCAACCCTGGCATGCTCAGTTGTAGTCTCTGGAAAACGGAAGATTTATGAAAGCTTGACAGAGGTAGACTTGCAAAACATTACTCACTTATGAAATGTAAATTATTAATGAAAGTTTGTCTGCAACAACGGCAAAAATAAAGCATCACATTAAATAAGGTCAATACCCAAGCAGTGTACAATATGAAAAACTGATCATGGTAAAATTCTTTTTTAAGAGTAAAAATATGATTTATACTTATCCTGACTCATACTCATGCTTATCTCTCTCTCTTTTGAATAGGTAGTGGAAACTTCCTGTGCTGTGTTCCCAGAGAACAGTGAAAACAGCTCACTCAAACACACCCGTACTCCGTGCATGTGACCGAGCCCAGTTACTCATCACTCTCTCTATTTACATACTTAATGGTCGGAAACACATCAGTAGAGAGAGGGGAGGCCGGGTGGGTGCTCATACGTATGAGTCAGGATAAATATAAATGATATTTTCACTCTAATAAATACATATTTTATCTTATCCTGACCCATACTTATTCTCACAGTAGGTGGTGGGTTCCTCTTGTATGTGTAATTAATGTCAATCTGTTCTAGAAACCCCATTGGAATGTTGGTTGGTAGTCTGCGTGTTTTCTTCCTTTATTTCATTTTATGAACAGGGGCGTTAAGTTTGGCATTTCATGGATATTCTCAATTTTTTTACGTCAATTTCTCCCAATACCGATTGTCATATCTCTCCCATTTTTGGATGCGGTCGTTAACATCATGATAGAACAATGTCTTATCATGAAATAAACCATGCTTTCTTTTTCATTGTTCTCTGCGATTTAAGCTATCTCGCATATATCTATTGGGGTACCACCTTATAAATTCCAAAATGCATTGGTAATGCCTTTAAAAAGTAAACAAAGATATTTCCTGGATGCTGGATGTATGTGTAGCCGGGGTAGTGGTTATGATCCTGCTCGGGCTGTTGGAGAACACAGACACAGGCAGGTGATGATAATGTGTTTATTGCAGTGGGGTGGCTACTGTTGAAGAACTATTTGAAGAAAAGAAAATGTCCTTCCTCCTCAACAGCAGGACCTGTAGAGGACCAGGGTGGCCAATTAGAAGACAGATTGCATTAAGCATCAAAGGAAGTGCTTAATGCAAGATATAAATAGACTGAGGGAAACCCTACAGGTGTGAAAAATGTCTAAAGATAGACAGAAGGTTGAAGGGGAAGATCTGGTTAGAGATTCCCAGACACTGAAAATAAGGGTGTTGAGTTGTTTTAAAGAGTTATTGACTGATATTCAACTGTAGACAAGACAAACATTGAACATATAGACGATTATGATGATGGTCTATGAATAATGATATATAGGCCAGTAGGAAAATCCCCTAATTAAATTACACCTAGACATTTTGGATAACAGACAAATATGTATGCCAAAGGTATTCTCATGTTCATAACCATAAAAACCCAAACAAAATCAACCTCTGTCAAAGTTGTTAAATTTGAGTTTGATTGATTGAGTTTGAGTTTGATTTCCAGTCAAATTTTCTCAATGACTTTCTTTGCGTGTAAAGTAGTTGTCCATAAAGTAGTATCTGTAGGAACCAAAACAAGATGGCACCCACTGGTGGTCTCTCCAGCTCATAGAGGTTTTGTGTCAACACATCACTCCAAGAACATGTCATCAACAACACACAGGAGCTCTGGTAAGCATTTTATATGCAGAGTCCTTAGCATAGAGTATTTTTACTATTTTGTATTTGCTTTATTCTTCGAGTTTATTCCATCACAGTTTTGACAGATCTTCTTGATAGCATTGTATGGTATTTGCATCTGTTGAAGAGAAATTAATTTAAACTGTGTAACACAACTTAGATATGTTTTTTCCCATCTGTTATTTACCCTACACATAACTTAGAATATAAATAAATATGTTTAGGGGGCTTTAAACCCATACATTGGACACTTGTATGCTAGCAGACAGCTTTCCCTTTTATGCTACTACCTTAACGACTGGTTACATATATGATGACTTCAGGTGGCCCTACACTGAAATGATTTGTGGGGGGAACGATGTACATTTTTGTTACTTTTAAATAAATATATGTTTGTTCAAATACACAGATATCATAGTAAATAGATGTGTAACACTTCATATTCATTTTATAAAATGGGTAAACACAGGAACATTAGTATCAACAAAACCCCAAAATTCTATTTCTAATCTCTGTACAATGCATTTATCATTGCATAAACAAATTTCAATGCCTTGAATAAAACTGTGTGATAAGGTAGGTACAGTGATCCCTCGCTATTGTGCTCTTCGATAAAGCGCTACCTTGGTTACTACGCGCGGTAACGCATGGCTCCCAAAATTTATGTACACTTTTATTACTGAGAGTTTTACACAGACATAATTGTATTGTTGTTCGTTGTTCATTTGCACATAACGCTTCTCATTGCATAATCAACCGTTTATCGCTGAATGGTGTTCTAATAATCTGTTTGAAAACATCCCCAGCAAGTCCCGGAAATACGATTGTTCAACTAGTTAACTTTTCACACTATACATCCTTTGATCTTAGAAGCGCATGCATGCAATAAAAGAGAACCACAAGCGAAGTTTATATTCTTAATTAGTGGGCAATCCAATTTGAAGCGACACTGTCACACACATGTAGTTGCTGTCACAACACGGCGGTCATTCATTTCGTTCTCGCGCTTTCGTAACATCGCCTGGTTTTTTTCTGTAGTTATAACAAGCGATTTCATTGGATTAAAATTTGTTTCTAATTACGCTTTCTTGCCAAAATCTGCTACAAGTTTCGTGATTGGTCAATTTTGAGCACGTGACCTCAGGCAGCCAATCAAATTATAGCTGTGATACCAAGCTCGTGTTTGATAAATTTCAGAAGTTGGCGAAATATTTTTTGTTAAATCGTGTTATTCTGAACGTTTTGAGCAGGAAATCACGATATATATTAAAAATATGGAACTTCGCGAATGTATCGTGCTAGGTTACGAGCTGTGACAAAGATTTTTCATGCATATATTTTTGCATTAAACGTTGTGTCCGAGCCGAGAATTCAAGGCGACGAAAGCCGAGATGTCATTTGACTTACATTACACGCAATCGCACGAAACGATGGAAATAATAACTTAGATGTAAGTTTGATTACTTTTAGATATATTTTTGTTGATTTTATTTATCACTTTGTACATATATATTTAAAGATTTGTTTAAAACGTCTTTATTTTGCTCTTTGACATGTTCGATGTGGACCCGTTGTCGAAATATGTGTCCGAGAATTTTATTTTCAATAACATCACAGGAAATAGTGAATAATTTTTTAATTTATCGATAAGATATGATAAATTGAAATGGAATACGTATTTCAGACATAGTGAAATGTGACAGATTTAATAAATGAATGATATTACAGGTAGATCTAGGTCCATAAAAATATATACTATTTTGACGTGACGTGAGATAAACACATATTGATGATATGAGATTTGCCGAGCGCGCTACCCCGCCTCGGCCTCGGTTAAACGGCTCATCGTCTATAACGCCCACCAATTATTTGGACCCCATTGGTAGCGTTGTAGCGAGGGACCACTGTACTATAATATCCCAATATTCATGTAAACATAAATTTAATGTGATGGGGTAAGGGAAAAGCATTGCACAATGGACAGTTGTCCATTAGCCTTGGGGTTGGGGGCATCAGTAAATTGAACGTTTGTTCCCTAGACCGGGCAGGTAGCCTGGCACGCGGAATCTATGTCCAATTTTTTTTTAGAACTTTTGACAAAAATGAAATGTTTCACAAACTTTCTTCCATGTGATTTTGGGTGGTGCACATACATTATGAACACATTTTCAAGATGCAATCCTGGTACTATGCAACATTTTAACACATGATAATATTTTTTAAATTGCATACTATTTTTGTAAAAATTATTATTTGTATTGTTTTAATTTCAGGTGCTGCTGACCACTGCTGTGTTCTGTGTGGTGTTGATGGAGCTGATGTGAAACTGTCTTCAAAAGGACTTTTCATCTTTGATTGCAGTATCAATGAAACGTGAAGTTGACATTCACACTCAGATTACAGTGAATAATGACTACATGTATTTTGTACATGAGAGTTGTTGAAAGACATACACAGCAAACAAGAACATTTACAAAGCCATCAAAACTCAGTCCACTGCCACATGTCAAACAGCCACAAGGGTTTTGCGAACTCTGAACTCCAATTTCAACTTTGAAACTCATTGTTTAATATGTGCCAAAGAAATTGATTTTGTTAAGGGACCTCGTTATCCAAGCCAGTCCTCTGCTGTGAGCAGTATTGAGTATGTCAACAATATTGGAAAAACAAGCATCTTACAAAATACACTGTTACAAGTTTGTAACCAGAGACTTGATAAGGAATCAGTAGAAATCAAGGCTAGGATTGCAATGGCAGGTGATATTCGTGCAGTTTAGGCTAAATATCATAGACCATGCATGCAGAAGTTCTTGTCAGCACATGGTAAAAGTGACACCAATACCAAAAATGAGGACACAGCAAACAGTACTGCTTTCTCAGCATTATGCAGGTGGTTATCCTTCCAACAAAACAGTCAGTTCACCATACAGGATTTGCAGAGCAGGCTGGCATCTTATCTTGCCGAAGATGTGGAACCATACAGCATTAAACATCTGCAGCGCCGTCTTCTTGAACACTTTGGTGCAAAGGTGACTATAGCAGAAGTTGAAGGAAGAGCAAATGTTGTTACTTTTGTTGACAAAGCAGCAACTATTCTGCAAAACTCCTATCATGAAGATGACAGTGATAAAGATGACACATTGCAACAAGACAGAATGTTAGGATGTCATATCAGAAAGCGTTTGGAAGGTCTCAAGAAGACAGACTTGTTTTATCCTTGTCCTCAAGACACTGACATTGACAAACTTGAGAATGAGGTTCCTGATGTCCTCCTTGTATTTGTGAGAAGTCTAATGAGAAAAGCCACCACAGAAACTGCCTTTGAAAAACAACGTCTTGAAGTTGTTTCTCACTGTCATGCATTGATGCAAGCTTCAGCTCCAAACCCTTATCTATCCCCTTTGATGCTCTCCACTGGCGTTTTCATCCACCAAACAAGAAGATCCAGAGTGCTGCTGAATGTTTTTTTTAGTCTTGGCTTCTCTGTGTCTTATGATCAAGTAATGGATTTTGAGAAATCAGCTGTAGTAAGCAAGTCTGTTGAAGATCTTCCACCTGGAATCGAGGCACAGGACCAAGGTGGTGGTTTTTGTCAGTGGGTGGCTGACAACTTTGACTACAATGAGGACACTGTTACTGGACACAATTCAACACATGTCATGGGTATTATTGCTTGCCAAACCCAAGCTTCCAAGCCAACAATTACTGTTCAGCGTAAGAAGAAAACATCTGCTGATATTGCATCTTCTGGTGACTTTGGTCATATAATACAACCTTATAGTAGGGAGGTCAGGCACGGCAGCCATCTTGTTTTTTTAAAGAAATTAATCAAGTTTCATCACATTTCAGCTTCATTGACAGAAATAAGAAGAAGATACATGCTTATGAAGAATGTCTTAATAAAACATTATGCCTATTCTTGTGTTGTTCTCTTTGTTATTTCACCATGAATAGAATGTTTATTCAAGTATGCAGCTTCTTTTGATTACCGGGTATGTCAGCTTTTTGCCAAAATGGCACCATCCAATCTTCATACCCTTGACGTTCAGGGTAAAAGTAGGAGGTGTGCCTGGATTCACATGACAACAATATCTATATCACATGACAGATGGAAGAGTCTATTTTACGACTATGACCTCGTTCTGGAGATCGTGGCGGGAAATTTAAACAACAAAATCACTCAAAGGTAAGTTTACTCACATTTTCTGAGAAAGTCTTAAAATGGCGGGAAAACGAATAACTACTACACATTTCAAAACTATCTAGTTTCAAAATTTCATAAATAAAAAACATAAAAATGTTAAGCACACCTACTATTTTTCAAACAAAGTTCCATCGTTTTTCACATCTAGCAGCCGACATGACAGCCGACTCGCAATCGGACAAGTTTATTGTGGAAGGGGACAAAGCTTATGATGGAAGTGTCCCCACGGACAATGTAACAGGTAATCCCCTTTAAAAACTTATATTAAGTAGAATGTTGTTAATTCTTACTAATACGCTTCCATTTTAATATATGAATGAATGTTCTTTGATGGGGAACAAATATTAAGATTATAGAATTTCTTGCTCTCCCCCATCTGTAATATTGAATTCGCCCAAGTGTTTACCTTGCTGTCGCCTTCTGTCGTAAATCATGACAATCAACACATTCCAGACTTCCTGTGTTCATTCACATTCCTAAAATTTCCTTAACAACACCACTGCCATCGAAATGTTATATTAGGAACATTTTCTGTTTACATTTTATCCTAATTAGACCCAATTTCCATCACAGCAGTGCAGACAGTTCAGTCGCTGACCGAGTGGGCTTGGTCCGCTGTGGGGGTGTCAAGGGAGAAAGTGCAGGACTTGCTGACACGCCCTGACTTAACGGGTAGGACTATCTCGCTTGTAGACATTTTAATTTGTAAAGAAAATCAACATACATTTATCGTTGTGATAACATGTAAAATTTTATTTTTATGTACAATGAGATTTTCATAGCAGCACATATACCCGTATCAGAATGGACTAATCCACGTTTCATACTACGACTGTTTACAACTTTATTAAAGAAGGCATTTTGTGTGGCTTTTCATGTCTGCTTACCATCTTCAAATATTTAAACGATAGCTCTTTTAAATGAGATCATGTCAACAAGATTCTGCAATTTGCCAGTGAACTGTCGACTGAACTGCTGTCATAGAAACATGAAAACTATTCACAATTTCACTTCCGGTTTACTTCGTGTTCGGCCGTCGTAGTCTTACTACATTAGTCTTAGATGAGATTTTTTCGAAGATTTGCTTTGATCTGACAACTTAAATGATAAGTGGCTGAAAATTTGTTAGTTCATAGTATTTACTGTGCAATTGGAAGAAAATGTTGACAATGTATTTTTATATCTACAAATAAAAGAAATGACCCCGCGAAAGGGGTGATGGTCAAAATATACTGAACAACAAAAGCTCCTGTGACATTGAATAAGATTTAATGCAAAGTTACGTTTTTATCAAATCTGAAACAATTTTTTAAATTAAATTTAATTGAACTGAATTAAAAATTATATGAAGAGTCATTACCAAAATTCCCATTAGATTCCAGATGATTTAATTATGTACATCCATATTCACCAAACATTTATAAATCTTATCACAGGCCATACAACAGATAGTCTCTTATTTATTACAAGTATTTGATTATCATCACTTTGATCTGTGCAGATTTAACATTACATTTATTAAACTGTTTGAAAAATGTTGAATGGTCCTAGTGTGTGACAGTGTGTGATAATATTTTGACTTTGTGTATAAAAACTTATCCTATCTCACTAGTCATTATGTATCCAACAGTTGGATGGAGTGGCGCAGAAACCCAAGCCTGTAAAAGACCTATGAAATATTAATGTGATTAGGTCAGGCAAATATACTTTTCCCAAGAATATAATATTTTATCATTACTAATGCTTGAATAGCTTCTTTTTATCTGCCTTGATGCTGAAATGGATATAAGTTCAAATGGTTCCAAATATGTGTTTCAGATGACTGGTCACTGGCCATGGAGGAGATCAGCCAACCTGTCTTCCGCTCCTTGGGATTCTGGATGCTGGTTTGCCAGGTGATAGAATACAGCCAGCACTTCACATTTAATACCAATTTGAAATGTGTATTTGAAAATCTTTTGCAGTCATGCAAGTGTGTACGGACTTTCCTCAGGAAACTCCGTAACAAGTGTTGCTATTTTTCCAAACGTGATTGGAACTATGAATCTTTAATGTATCCAATTGTTTCTTTACCTGCTGATGAGTTCCCTCAAATTTTGAGAGAAATTGGTATATCTGAACAATGGCTTGAAAACCCTTTGCCTATTGATGTTAATCAAAACTCTGTAAACAAAGCTATTGTTTGTGCTCTTCGCACATACAAGATTCGGAAAAATGTTTGTTATCATAAATGCTCTTTGTGGATTAAATACATTTACAAGTTGGACAGAAAACCTAATCCTCATACACTGAGGTCTCAATGGGATTTTATTCACAAAAAGAAACAAAACTTTAGTTGCCACAGAGAGCAACAAGAAATATTTCTGGGATCTAAATATGATCCTATTGTAGCTTGTCCTGTGTCTTCTGCCTCTGAATCCATGCTTGGTTCCAAAACAAATTCTAATGTGAGGCAATCAGAATCAATGAGAACTCAAGATGATAAGCTTTTAGTTGAAAATGAAACTCTCAAGAATCATATACAGTCTATTACCTACAAAAAGAAGAATGTATCATTACAGCTTTATGAGTGTGAAAAGAAAGTAAAATATCTTGAATCACAGCAGCAGAACACTATTGAGAAGATCAAATCTTTTTCAGTCAGAAATGTTAATAAACGAATAAAGAGGAAACAAAAGAAAATTACAAGTTTATTATCTGAAAATAGTCAACAAAAACTGAAGCTAGCATCTATGATGTTAAAATGCAGAAAAATCCAAAACCGTTATCAACGACTTCGTTCATTAACTCTTTCAACACCAGTCAACCAGAAGTGTTTACTGCTGGGACACCGAGTTCCCAGAGACTCTTGTGTGATAGATGAAGCCAACATTTATCAAAGAAAATACCTGCTTGTAAAATATATTTGCTACTACATGTTATACACCATTTGAAAGGTCTGATCCTATGGTTTATAAATATGAAAGTTATATTTTTCACATTATTTAAAATAATGCATTTACACCTTAATTAAATTCGTTGTAAATAAAAAATGTACACTAACACGTTGTTAACATCCAGATTAAGGACCAAGGAAGCGAAAACTTGACGATTTTCGGCAAATATATGATTTCATAATATCCACGTACCTATTTCTGTTTTATTTTCATTGTTTACGTAATTGGAAAATCATTTTTAAAAGAATTATAAATAGTTTCTGTCATCACCCATTTCCCGATAACAGCGACTGTCCGCTCAGTAAAATGAAGAAATACCCCCGTTTTCGAGGTTTCGTATGAATAACACCTTCGTCGAAGAATGGCATATGACACATCGCTGGAAAGCTTATTCCTTCATCTACACGCTCGTAACATCGACTGAGTTTTTGTTGTTGTTATAACAAGCGATTTCATTGGATTAAAATTGGTTTCTAATGACGCTTTCTTGCTGAAATCTGCTACAAGTTTCGTGATTGGTCAATTTTGAGCACATGACCTAAGGCAGCCAATCAAATTACAGCTGTGATACCAAGCTCGTGTTCGATAAATTACAGAAGTTGGCGAAAGAACTTTGTTAAATCGTGTTATTCTGAACGTTTTGAGCAGGAAATCACGATATATATTACAAATATGGAACTTCGTGAATGTATCGTGCTAGATTACGAGCTGTGACAAAGATTTTTCATGCATATATTTTTGCATTAAACATCGTGTCCGAGCCGAGAATTCAAGGCGACGAAAGCCGAGATGTCATTTGACTTACATTACACGCGATCGCACGAAAAGATGGAAATAATAACTTAGATGTAAGTTTGATTACTTTTAGATATATTTTTGTTGATTTTATTCCTTACTTTGTATAATATATTTAAAGATTTGTTTAAAACGTCTTTATTTTCCTCTTTGACGTGTTCGATGTGGACCCGTTGTCGAAATGTGTGTCCGAGAATTTGATTTTCAATAACATCGCAGGAAATAGTGAATAATTTTTTAATTTAACGATAAAAAATGTTAAATTGAAATGGAATATGTATTTCAGACATTGTGAAATGTGATAGATTTAATAAATGAATGATATTACAGGTAGGTCCATAAAAATATATACTATTTTGACGTGACTACGGCTTGGCCGGATAACCGGCCTGCGGTGTCTGGGGACTCAATGCTTCTTGGCCGGATAACCGGCCTACGGTGTTGAAAGAGTTAAAGACCTACTATCAAAACAAATCCATTGCTCAGAATTCACAGGTTGACAAATGTAACAATAAAAGTGAAATACTAGAAAGTAAAGTGAAGGAATTGGAGTTGCAAAATGCTGAGTTAAATATGTTGATTGGAAGTCTACAACCAGAAATTGAAACATTTAAAAATGGCAGTTATACAGATGAGGTGAGAATTGTGTGCTATGAACTGTTGAATCATGGGGTTGGTTCCAAACACATCCCAAGAATAATACAGACAGTCTTAAAAAAACTTGCAAATATATCTGTTAAGTTAGAAGATTTGCCTAAAGCTACATTGCTGAAGTATATGTCAACTGAGGCTGGAATCATAGCTAAGACTATAGCTGCAGTTAATATTAAAAATGCTAATGTTTGCACATTACAGACTGATGGTACCACAAAAAAACACAATAAATATGTAAACTTTATTTCTACAACTAACACAGGGCAAACGTTTGGCCTAGCGTTACAGGATCATCACAGTGGAGACGCTAAATCTCAGGTTGAAGGATTAGAGCTTATGTTAGAGGAACTAGCTTCATGCATAGATGATGATGAAGAAAAGGATCCCTTTGAAGGAAAAGAAAATATCATTCATGACTTTTTGGTGAAGTTAAAG